TTCCAATCCCAAAGAAAGGCAATGCCAAAGAATGCTCAAACTATTGCACAGTTTTACTCATCTCACACATTAGTAAAGCTCAACATATTATATATAACTTTACATATTTAGAAACCTTTTATATGCAATTAAAACTTTTTGGAAGAAGTGTTAGAGAATAATCAGGCATTCAACCAGAGGAGAATTAAGCTGTTTTTAAATGAGGAAAGAATCTAAATGTTCTCACCTTTAGAGAAAATTTTATTTATTTGTTTATTATTTTTTTTAAAGAGTACTGAATGCCTGAGCCAAGGGTTAGGCAAGTAACCATGAAAGAAACTGTTAAGATAAGTCATTGTTATGATGACTGACATCCCTGGTTTTCTGGATGCTGAGAAGTTTCTCAGGATGCAAGACTTCTAGTGGTAAATCCTGAGACAGTTTAGATGAGAGAGACACATCCACAAGGAGAGAAAGAGAGACAGAAGTGCAATCAAATATGAAAGCTTTAATAGAAATATGTCTGTGGGCGCTGGGTGTATAGAACAAGGTCTAGTTTATTTAAGCTGTCATTTAGGGGTGGTCCATAAAATCACCAACCAGATCCCCTCCTTTGTACTCTGTAATGCTCTTCTGCTTTCCTTTGGGGCTTTACAGTGAGAAGTACATGGATAAAATGTTAATAGTTGTCTTGTTCTTGAATGTCTGCAGTGATAAACTGTGTGTTTTACATCAGGCTTATCCTGAGTCTTTCTGTGGGAAGTATAATTAATTTTCTTGGTAGCCTCTTTGATCCCCAATATCTAGTAAGAGCTTGTTGAAAATTAGACTGTTGGGAATCAGAAAAACAAGTAAGTGATTAATGGAATCATTTGCTCCTAAACCAGAAAATATTGTATTTTTTTCCAAACACGTAGGAAAAACCTTGAGTTTTTTTTTGTGGAATCATTTAAATGTTAGCAACTAGTATACTCATAGAAAATAAACTTCTATATTCTAGCTAGTATTTAAATTTCAAAGGCATTTTCAAGGACATACTGGAACCTTATACACAGTTGCAAGAGTGGCAGATGTAAGCATTACTCTGACCCAGTGAGAGCTAAAATATTGCAAAAATATCCAGGTTCACAAATGGGTTGATTTGTTGGTATTTTCCTAGGATTGTCACACGTGTTATTCTGATATAGCAAATTTCCTGTCATTATTGGGCTCCTGTTCAAGAGATCCAGTCAAAGTGTGTGCTGCTTTCTTCATTGGATCCTTTATTTCATTGTTGTTACTGATTTGTAGGAATTCCTTATGTAATTTGGATATTAACCCCCTTATAGATACATGGTTTGTAACTATTATTTTTCCATCTGATAAGCTGTTCTTTTACTTTGTTGTTTATTTCCTTTGCTATGTAGAAGATTTTTATTTTGATGTAGTCGCCCTGTGTATTTTTGTTTTTGCTGCCTGGCTCTTGATGTCAAATCTCAAAAGAATCATTGAGAAAAACAGTGTCATGAAGCTTTTCTCCTATGTTTTGTTTTAGGAGTTTTACAGTTCCATGTCTTATGGTTAAATTTTTAATCAATTTTGGGTTGATATTTGTGTATGTTGTAAGATACTTATTTCCATACATATGTCCAATTTCACCCTTTCACATGAGGAAATCGAATTTTTACCAGCACCATTTGTTGAAGAGACTACTCTTTTCTTTCTCTCTCTCTTTTTTTAATGCCAAACTTTACTCTCTTTTTAAAAAATTAATTAATTTATTTTAATTGGAGGCTAATTATTTGACAATATTGTAGTGGTTTTTCCATACATTGACATGAATCAGCGATGGGTGTACATATGTCCGCCATCCTGAGCACACTTCCACCTCCCTCCCCATCCCATCCCTCAGAGTTGTCCCAGTGCACTGACTTTGAGTGCCCTATTTCATGCATTGAAAGTGGACTAGTGATATATTGCACATATGGTAATATACATGTTTCAATGCTATTCTTTCAAATCATCCCACCCTCGCCATCTTCCAGAGTCCAAAAGTCTGTTCTTTATATCTGTGTCTCTTTTTCTATCTTGCATGTTGGGTTGTTATGTATGCGTTAATATATGGTATGGTGTTTCTCTTTCTGACCTATGTCACTCTATATAATAGGCTCCAGTTTCATCCACCTCATTAGAACTGATTCAAATGTGTTCTTTTTTGTACCTGAGTAATATTCCATCGTGTATATGTACCATAGCTTCCTTATCCATTCGTCTGCTGATGGGCATCTAGGTTGCTTCCATGTCCTGGCTATTATAAACAGTGCGTGTCTCTTTCAGATCTGGTTTCCTCGGTGTGTATGCCCTGCAGTGAGGTTGTTGGGTCATATGGCAGTTCTATTTCCAGTTTTTTAAGAAAGCTCCACACTGTTCTCCATAGCGGCTGTACTAGTTTGCATTCCCACCAACAGTGTAAGAGGGTTCCCTTTTCTCCACACCCTCTCCAGCATTTATTGCTTGTAGACTTTTGGATAGCAGCCATTCTGACTGGCATGAGATGGTACCTCATTGTGGTTTTGATTTGCATTTCTCTGATAATGAGTGATGTTGAGCAATTTTTCATGTGTTTATTAGCCATCTGTATGTCTTCTTTGGAGAAATGTCTGTTTAGTTCTTTGGCCCATTTTCTGATTGGGTCATTTCTTTTTCTGGTATGGAGCTGCATGAACTGTTTGTATATTTTTGAGATTAATTATTTGTCAGTTTCTTCACTTGCTATTATTTTCTCCCATTCTGAAGGCTGTCTTTTCACCTTGCTTATAGTTTCCTTCGTTGTGCAAAAACTTTTAACTTTAATTAGGTCATATTTGTTTATTTGTGTTTTTGTTTCCATTACTCTGGGAGGTGGGTCATAGTAGTCTTGCTGTGATTTATGTCAGATAGTTTCTGCCTATATTTTCCTCTAAAAGTTTTATAGATTCTGGTCTTACATTTAGATCTTTAATCCATTTTGAGTTTATTTTTGTGTATGGTGTTAGAAAGTATTCTAGTTGGAGGCTAATTACTTTACAATATTGTAGTGGTTTTTGCCATACATTGACATGAATCACCCTGAGTATTCATTAGAAGAACTGATGCTGAAGCTGAAGCTCCAATCCTTTGGCCACCTGATGCGAAGAGCTAACTCATTAGAAAAGACCCTGATGCTGGGAAAGATTGAAGGCAGGAGGAGAACGGGACGACAAGGGATGAGATGGTTGGATGGCATCACTGACTCAATGAACATCAGTTTGAGCATGCTCTGGGGGATGGTGAAGGACAGAGAAGTCTGGCCTTCTGCAGTTCATGGGGTCGCAAAGAGATGGACACAACTGAGTGGCTGAACAATAGCAACAATGACATTAAGATTTGTTTTAATACATTGCCTGGGGTACAGATTAAATGCTCAAAAACTGTTAGCTATCTCCATGATTTTATAATCAAGGGAAAAAAAAAAAAAAAACAAAGCCATAACACAGACCTTTATAAGAAGAACTTCTCTGTGTTCTAATTTTGCTTGCTCAGTCATGTCCGACTCTTTGCAACCCCACGGACTGTAGCCTGCCAGGCTCTTCTATCCATGGAATTTTCCAAGCCAAAATACTGGAGTGGGTAGCTGTTCCGTTCTCCATGGGATCTTCCCAACCCAGGGATTGAACCCAGGTATCTCACATTGCAGGCTGATTCTTTACTGTCTGAACCACCAGCAAAGCCCCTAATTTTGCTGAAAGATCTCAGATTCAGGGGATTCCATGCTGAATGGATAAAGGTAAACACAAAACTGCAAAACTTATATAAAGATTTAAAGTGCTGAAATATTTTTCCTGTTTCCTTTCCATTTTTAAAAAATCTGAATTGTGCCCTATACTGAAGTTGTTTGAATATGTTTTTTATGTTGCATTGGAAAAAATTGTATAACTTTAACCTGTTTAGCATTTTTCACTAACAATTTTATTTGTAACAAGACAGTAAAAGTAATATAGGATACAAGTGACCATGTCTATCATACTTTGTAAAAGCTCTCAATAGTTTAAACATATTTTTTCTCCCCCACACTGAGATTTGTTATTTGAAGCATACACTGGGTTTCTTGTACTTCCTGTGGCCTTTTCTCTAATTGTTAAAGTAGTCTGCAACCAGTGATTGAGCAAAAAATGTTTGTTTACTTATTGCCTAGCAACATTATAAGGCTATTGTACTTGACGGAACCTGCAGATAATATGAGTACGGGTTTCACAGAGTTCTTTGTACTTTTCTGAGTTAATTATTTCCCAGAAGCTTGCAGAATGACAATTAGACCAATGGAATTTGTGTCTAAGAAGTTAGAGAACACGTCTTAATAAATCCAAAAACTTGTGAAATTTCAGCATTAAAATATTTCAGAAGTGTATTTGCTTTGCTGCCAAGTAGAACGTGCAGTTGGAAAACATCATGGGAAGAAAGACGATTTTGCTTCTGATTGTGGGGGCTCTTGGGGCATATTATGTTTACACACCTCTCCCGGATAATATTGAGGAGCCATGGAAATTAATGTGGGTAACAACGTGTTTAAAAACTATTACACATTTGGTAAGTATAAACTTTTATTGACTCTCAATGTTTAGAAGTTTAGTCAGGAGAAAATAATGATTTTTATTATTTTTAAAATAATTTCTGCTGTTTTGGAAAGTTTACTCAAAGGTTGCTTGCTGGTTTTAAAACCTTTCAAATATTTTATCTATTGCTTAATGCAGAATGAATATGGATGGAGTAGTCAAGGAGTTTCCATTTTAAATACTAGAAAACAAAATAGACTGGCTAAGAAAGACAAAAAGTCTTATTGTGAGTTTCATGGCATGAGTGCTGCCAGAATGAAGCGTTTTGAACTTCAGAAATGGTAGAATTGAGCAACACTGATTAGTTACAGAATTCGATACAGTAACCTTGTATTCAAGTGTGCAAATCCTTTCTTACTGAAATGCCTGTGAACAAGTCAGCTGGTGAAAACCCAGGAGAAACAAGGAAAATGGTTTCCAGTTGAACGGTTTAATTGCTAAGTGATAGGATCCTGCATGACTGGCTCACTACCTCCTGTTCGTAGGTCATCCTCAAAGACTTGTGGTTCTTTTCTAATGAGGCTAATTACTTAGAAATGAAGCCATATACTTTGCTCTTTTAACTTTGTAGTGAGTTCTTCCCTGCAGCAAAAACAAAACAAAAACAATTCATAGACAGTCTGGGTATTAAACCCTTGGCTCAACATTTCTTGCATATATTTTTTCAGTTGTTTCAACACTTCTGGAGCTTAATGTAGCTCTGAATAAGTGCAATGCTTGTCTTATTTTTATTTCATTATTAGTGATTTGACCATTTTTAGTAATTTTATAGTACATGTTATTGGATTTGGGTAAGTTTTGGTAGAATATAGCTTCAAGTCATTTTTTAAAAGTTATTCTTGGTTGATTTTGATTGATTTTTTTGATTTCTTTTATTATTTGGATTAATTATGTGTGTGTGTGTGTGTGTATACACTTATGTACACATGTCATCCTTGTTTGTCTTTGGAAAAAATGTCATTTTCTCTATAGCACTTAATCTTTTGCAATTTTCTTTTGTTTTTCTCATTTCTATCATATATAACACTTTGCTTGAGTTTCTTATAATTCAGTGTTTATTTCTGAAATTATTTTGTCTTTTTTTCTTATTCCTTTTCTGATTTCTATCAGTACCATTTTTTAATCACTTCTTTTCAACTAGAGATTATCTCCAAATATCTTCCTATACCTTCCTTAAAGATTTGTACTTCTGCTTTGTGATCTTTATTCTTATATTATTTGTTCTGAAGCATTGTGTAATTTATTTCATCTACCTTGTACCAATTATTTTTAAACTTGTTTTCTTCATATGTCGGAGGCTATTATTATTTTTCTTATAGCACATAGTACCTTGCATGAGTTTTTGTTTTTTCATGAATGTTATGCATATACCTTTTGTATTATTTCTATTTGAATGAGATGGCTTTTCTTTGACAAACTTAGAAGAATGTACTGGAGAATGGTGGAAGGGTCAAGACTTTTTTTCTGAAAGTATTTTTGCTTAAGAGCGCCTATCACTATGTATGTATGAATTTATAAATTTCTAATAAAAGACAATGGATATTTACTCCAATAATGAAAGAGACTCACCATGATCAATGACTGAAACATAATGAAGCTTGATTACTGGGACAAATTGCTATACTAAAAAATTGCCCAGAAGTAACTGTTATCTTTTAAATTATTTATCTTTTTTTTTCCCCTTGAATTGTGTGGTTTCATACAGATGGGGAAAAATGTAGATTTACCATAAAACTCCCACTCTTTTCTTTTTTTTAAGGAAAATATTTAATTTGCTAAGTACATCAGATTGCCATATAATATAGTATCTTATGAAAATCTCTAAAAAGCCCATCACTCACTTCACTTCATGTTGAAGAAGTAACCAGGGTTCTTTTTTTTTTATTTTTTTTCTCCATTTGTCACTGACTCTTCCAACACTTTCTACTTCTTTTAGCTGCTATGCCTTCTCAAAGATATCACTGGTTGACCTCCAAAGGATGAACATTTTGAAACCCAATAAATACTCCTTTGAGTTTCCAAACTGCTGAGTAACCACACTTAATATGCAGAACTTTGACTAGGTGCAGCCAATGGCATAGGCACTGTTTTCTCAACAGAAATTCAGTTTATATATACATATATATATATATATTATATATATATATGTATATATTTAGGTGATAGATCCTTGTATGATTGATTAAGATGCATAAAACATTTTGTCCTTACACTGAGGAATATAAATTCCTGCATTAGTGAGAATTTTCCCTCTCTATCATTTGATATTTCAAATTTACATAAAAAATTGCTCCAGTGTAAAGTAATTAGCTGCCAACTAATATAAATACATAAAAAAGAAAGAAAAATCAACGTGAAAAAAAATTTCTCCCAGAGTATAGAGTCAGTATAAAGAAAAAAAGATAATCTGAGAAGGTATGTCCATAAGCTACTGCTCTAGTTGCTTCCCACTTCACCAAATAGAGTCAAAGAAACTAAAACCCTTGTTTCAATTCAGACTCCAGGGACACTGGGCAATATGTGTAGCACAGTGGTGACTTAGTCTTTTGCTATGTATTTATTAATATTACAATTCCTAGTAAACTCTAAAAAGTTGTGAAAATACAAAGTCACCTATAATTTTTTATACTTAGTACTTTCTTACACACAAATGACAACTATTTTGTGTTCAGTCTCCTAAGTCAGGTCCGACTCTTTGCAACCTCATGGACTGTAGCACGCCAGACTCCTCTGTCCTCCACTGTCTCCCAGAGTTTGCTCAAATTCATGTCCATTAAAGTCGGTGATGCTATGTAACCATCTCATCCTTTGCTGCCCCCTTCTCATTTTGCCTTCAGTCTTTCCCAGCATCGGGGTCTTTTCCAGTGAGTCAGCTCTTCGAATCAAGTGGCCAAAGTTTTGGAGCTTCAGCTTTCAGCATCAGTCATTCTAATGAATATTCAAGGTTGATTTCCTATTTTCATATAAATACTCATCTTTAACCTGTATAACATATACCATTCTCCTATCATTTAAAAATATTTACTTGAAACTAAATAATCTTATTCTTTGAAGATAAGATACTTGAGTCTAGTGATTTATGTTTTGAAAGAGGCCTTGTATTTTATGTACTTAACTTTGAAAGCCAGAGGGCTGGCTCAATTAACATAAATTATTTTAGGGGGAAAAATGTGGACACTTTATGTCATAGGTCATAGGAATTTTAAATTTGTTAAAATTAAGTAAATAAATGCTTGTGACCTGACTATCACTTTTCTATGTTAACATTTAAAATAATTAAAAATTGTTTCCACATTTGACACTGAAAATAAAGGAGATGGAAAATGGTCCACTGGAAGTAAGAGTCTCTACCCCTTGTGTATAGCATGGAGGAACAGGTATGGGATACCACGGTGCTGGGGGCAAGGTCAGTGTGTGTGGAGCTGTTTGTGTGTGGAAGGGGTGACCAGAATGTGGAGCAGACCTGGAATATCCTTATAGCTATAGAAGAGTTGATCTTCTAAGCTCGTCAGGCACTGACCAAGCATTTGCACTTCACTTTCATCTGCATGAAGTTCTACTCCTCTGGCTGCAGTTGTGGCATTAAGGCGGTGCTTTCTGTGAGTCTATCTTCTGGCATCTCTCTAGGACAGCGGCTGGGCACCAGTAAGGAGGGATGTTTGTGTGCTACTTGAGCCGAGTGTAGCGTGAGTGGGCTGGGGCATGCAGGAGGCCGTGGGAACCATCACATTCTTGTGGACCCTGGGCAGGGCCCAAGGCGCCCTCAGAGTTGGGTTCCCGCCCAGTCTCTCTGCCCAGTCTCTCACACCCATGAAAGTTCTGTGAATACTAAGGGATCCTTGAACACTGTATCCACTGCCACGCTGTCTCTTCAATGGGCATTTCATAATGATGGCCACTACGGGACAGTATATTGTCGGTCAGGAGTGACACCTGGCTCCAGGGATCAGACCGGGGCTTGAGTCCCACATATAGCACTTATTGTATGGGTAGTCATAAATATGTCTCCTAACCTCTCCCACGTCAACATGCTCAACTGAAAAATCTGGGAATATATTACTGTTGACCAGGTTTTCACAAGAATTGAATTGGTACACAAATGGAAAGCATAATACCTGGCAAAGATTAAAAACAACTGTAAGTATAGTTATTTATCTCTGTCTCCTTTCTTCTGATATTAGCAATGCAACTTCTTTTTTGATATGATTTTATGTATTTTTGGCTGTGCTGGGTCTTCATTGCTGCATGGGCTTCTCTCTAGTTGCGTCGAGTGGGAGCTACTCTCTAGTTGCGGTTTGTGGGCTTCCCACTGCCACGGCCTCCTATTGTGCAACCGGGCTGTGGGGCGCTTGGGCTTCAGTGGTTGTGGCTCCTGGACTCTAGAGCACAGGCTCAGTAGTCGTGGTCCATGGGTTTAGTTGCTCTACAGAACGTGGGATCTTCCCTGGACCCCCTGTCTCCTGCAATAGCAGGTGGATTCTTTACCACTGAGCCTCCAGGGAAGCCACCAGCGTAACTTCTTAAAAGGATAACATTTCCTCCTAATTTTGTAAGGGGTCCTGATAACTTACTGCACCCTCCACATATGCTTACTTGGACTATGTATCCTTGGTAAGCTTTATGTAAAATATCAATATGTCATTTTGATGCATGATCCTTTGCTCAAAAATGTATATGACTGTGTCTTTGACTTCTAATCAGCAGAACAGTTCTCAGACCTTTCTGAGATTCTGTCTCCTGGGTTATCATCCTCATTTGGCTCAAATAAAAAGCCTCTTGTTTCTTCTTAACTGATGGTTAATTGAGTCTTCATTGACATAAATAGAGATATGAATATTGAGACACAATTGAATACATATTTGGACATGGATTAGATATGGGTATAAATGCCTAACTCAGTATAAATATGGGTAGCACATTATATGACTTCCCTGGTGGCTCAGTGGTAAAGAATCTGCCTGCACTGCAGAAGACCCAGTTTCGATCCCTGGGTTGGGAAGATCCCCTGGAGGAGGGTATGGCAACCCACTCCAGTGTTCTTGCCTGGAGAATCTCCACGGATAGAGGAGCCTAGTGGGCTATAGTCCATCAGAGTTGCAAAGAGTTGGACATGACTAACTGACTAAGCAGAAGCAGCACATTATATATAAGTGAATATATATTAAAAGCTGTTAGTATCTTTTTATCTGTCTACCTACCTATATATCATCAATCTATTTATTGATTACGTGCCAACTTTTACCATTTCTTTTGACTATAACTAACCTCCTAACTTCAGGAGTATCTAGTTAAAACTCCTGAGTACAACGTATGTACAAATCATAATACTATTTATTTTGGATCAGATTAATCAGAGACATCAGACTAGATAATATAGAATAATAACTGGAAGTGACCTTTCAATACATTAATTAGAAAATTCTAATAGAGTATGGTCAGCTTAACTCGCAGGTTATGTTTCACAATGCCCACTGTTTAAAATTAAATTACTGTTTTAAGTACAGACAGTTCCTGATTAATGATGGTTTGACTTATGGTTTTTTTGACTTTGTGAAGGGGCAAAGTTATACACATGGAGTAGAAACTGTACTTTGCATTTTGATTTTGGTCTTTTCTCAGGCACGAGATATGTGGGCGACTCCTTGTCATGACGCTGGGCAGCAGCAGGGAGCCGCAGCTCCCAGCTAACCCCTTGACCACACGTGTAAACAGCCTACATACTCACAGCACTCTCTACTCCTACAACCATTGTGTTCTTCACTTCAGCACAGGATCAGTAAATTACACAATCTCGGCATTTTCTCGTAAGATAAGCTTTGGTTAGATGATTATGCCCCCGGTAGGCCAAGCAGATGCTTGGCAGGTGGTGTGTGTGTAGCTGCTCAGTCTTGTCTGGCCCTTTTTTGTGACCTCATGGAATGTAACCTGCCAGGTTCTTCTTTCTGTGGGATTTCCCAGGCAAGAATACTGGAGTGGATTGCCATTTCCTCCTCCAGGGGATACTCCTGATCCAGGGATTGAACCCCTGTCTCCTGCATTTGCAGGCAAATTCTTTACCACTGAGCCACCTGGGAAGCCTGTTTGGTAGGTTACATATATTTAAATGCATTTTTGACTTACAGCATTTTCAGTTTACAATGAATTTACCAGGACATAACCTCATTGGAAATGGAGGAAGATCTAGTGTTAAAGATAAGCCTTGCGTTAGATGATTATGCCCCCGGTAGGCCAAGCAGATGCTTGGCAGGTGGTCTGTGTGTAGCTGCTCAGTCTTGTCTGGCCCTTTTTTGTGACCTCATGGAATGTAACCTGCCAGGTTCTTCTTTCTGTGGGATTTCCCAGACAAGAATACTGGAGTGGATTGCCATTTCCTCCTCCAGGGGATACTCCTGATCCAGGGATTGAACCCCTGTCTCCTGCATTTGCAGGCAGATTCTTTACCACTGAGCCACCTGGGAAGCCTGTTTGGTAGGTTATATATATTTAAATGCATTTTTGACTTACAGCATTTTCAGTTTACAATGAATTTACCAGGACATAACCTCATTGGAAATGGAGGAAGATCTAGTGTTTCTTTGATGATTATACTTAATGATATATATGTATATATCATATATGGATCTCATTTATTTTGTTGTTGGCTAGTTAGAACACATTAAGCTGCTTGATGATATGTTTACAAAAGAAAAATAGACACTGTGTTCTGAAAGTAGCTCCTGATACTGCAGTGTCAACAGAGCTTCCCACTGTAATTTCAACCATATAAACCAAGCAAGTTAGCTTCCAGATAAAATGGTTTTCATGAACACCTTTGAAATTTCTTGTCTTTAGGCCTTTGATCAAATTATTTTGCCTGTATGACTAAATCTAAAAATTTTAAGCAACTATAATTTTTCACATTCAACAGGTTGAAATCGAACAGTACACCCATCAGAAATCTTCTTCTTATTTTTCAGAACTGATCTGTCTTCTCTTTCTACCTGAGCAGCCATTCAAGGTCCTTTTTTGATCTGCCTTTTATTAGAGTTTATTTATGTGAATGTCTATTTTTAGCAATAGTCTGTAAAGGTTGGAAATTATTTCACAGGCATCTTGCATTAATCATACCTCTAGCACTGTGCTTTTTTTTCCCCTTATTTTTGACCCTGCCACACAGATTATGGAATACTTTTGGTACAAAAGTATTTGGTACAAAAGTAATTGTAATTTTGTAGTGTGAATTTTAAATCATTATAACTAGGCTCAAACACATCTTCATTAATCAAAGTAAGAACCATTACAATCAACACATTTTGCCAACAAGGAATAAGTTTCTTTATCCCTATAGCATCAAAATCTATGTTTCATGATTCAACGAACACTTGGAAAGCATTTTTCTCAATCCTGCTGGTTGTGGCAGTGTTTTCTCTGCAAAAGGTTGTCAAGATGCTTGAAGAAGAAGTAGTCAGTTGGTGAGAGGTCCGGTGAAAATGCCAGTTGAAGCAAAACTCTATAGCCCGATTCATTCAATTTTTGAAGTGTTGCTTGTGTGACGTGCAGTCAGGCATTGTTGTGGAGGAGAAATGGGCTCTTTCTGTTGACCACTACTGGCTGCCAGCGTTACAGTTTTTGGTGCATCTCATCAATTTGCTGAGCATACTTCTCAGATGGAATGGTTTCACCAGGATTTAGAAAGCTGTAGTGGACCAGACGGGCAGCAGGCCACCAAACAGTGACCATGAGCATCTTTTCGTGCGAGCTGGGCTTGGGGAAGTGTTTTGGAACTTCTCAGTCCAACTACTGCGGTGGTCATTGCTGGTTGTCACATAAAATCCACTTTTCATTGTACATCACAATCCAGTCAAGAAATGGTTCATTGTTGTTGTGTAGAATAAAAGAAGATGATACTTCAAAACCACGATTTTTTAAATTTTCTGTCAGTTCATGAGACACCCACTTATCAAGATTTCACCTTTGCAATTTGCTTCCAATGCCAAATGAACATAAAATGATTGACGCTGAGTTCTTCAGCAATTGCCTGTATATTTCTAAGAGGATCAGCTTTGATTATTGCTCTCAATTGTTGTTGTCACCTTCTGATAACCAGCCACTCTGCTCCTCGTTTTCAAGACTCTCGCCTCCTTTGCAAAATTTCTTGAACCACCACTCCACCGTATGCTTGTTAGCATTTACTGAGCCAAATGCGTTGTTCATGTGAGTTGTCTCTACTGCTTATGACCGATTTTGAACTCAAATTTTAAAAAATCGCTTGAATTTGCTTTTGTCTAGCATCATATCTATAGTCTGAAATAAATATAAAATAAACAACACATAATAAATCATTAGCAAAAAAAAAAGGATAAAGAGAGAAATATGCATTAAAATTGTGTATAATGTAACAACATTTATTTAAGAATATATTCCAGTGTCGAGTGGCAAAGTTCAACAGTGTAAAACTACAATTACTTTTGCACTAACCTTTTAGTTCCCCAACCCGGTATCAGTTCAGTTCAGTTCAGTCACTAGGTTGTATCCAACTCTTTGCGACCCCATGGACTGCAGCATGCCAGGCCTCCCTGTCCATCACCAACTCCTGGAGTTTACCCAAACAGATGTCCATTGAGTCGGCAATGCCATCCAACCTCATCCTCTGTTGTTCCCTTCTCCTCCAGCCTTCAATCTTTCCCAGCATCACCCCTGTGCGAACTGCAGTGAAAGCACAGAGTCCTAACTACTCGCCTCACAAACCTCTCCCTTCATGGGGGCTATTACAAGTGTTACGTTCAATAACTATTTTGCTACTATACTTCATGCATTAACATGTCACTTAACATTGGTAACAAGGGCATTATTATCTTTAAGCAGGTCAGTTTTCTAATTTCAGCACGTCTTTTTTTTTTAAACTGGAGTGGGTTGCCATTTCCTTCTCCAATGCATGAAAGTGAAAGTGAAGTCGCTCAGCCGGGTCCGGCCCTTCGCGACCCCATAGACTGCAGTCCACTGGGCTCCTCTGTCCATGGGATTTTCCAGGCAAGAGTGCTGGAGTGGGGTGCCATGGCCTTCTCCGTCAGACATGCTAGAGTTGTGAAATGTTTCACCAGCACTTCTCTGAGGAGGGTGCGGAGGCCATGATGGACCAACTTCACCTCCTCTCCAGTCCTCACAGCTGGATACCACGGTTATCCAAATTTACAATGGATGGTTCCTTAGGATAGGCAGCCGGTCAAACGAGGTGGCCCCAGCAGCCTCAAGAGCCCTCTTGCCTAGACCATCCACGTGCCCAGGCTCTGGGCTCAGGCTGACCTCTCTTCAGAAGGATAGCAGAAGGTCAGAAGCCATGATTTCATTCAAATAACTCTCAAAAACAGAAGCCCCCAGTGCCAGGGTGCATGATTCATAGCTTCAAACAGCAAGTAGTTGCATGAGCTTCCTTCCCAAGTGTGAAGTGGGCACTGTGTGGTCTTCATGAGACTACAAGAGCTGCCCAGCCATCCATTTGCTATTCCCAAGCTTAGGTGGGGAAGATGGGGCCACATGGTGTCATCCCGATTAGTCAGGAACTGCACTTTGAGATGAACAGGTTCCCCAAAGCAGGCATCTAGGCTCTTGAACCAAAGTCACATTCAGGAACAACTACATAAGAGGACAAGGCGGTCAGCTGTTCTTAAGAAAGGTCCTTCCTCCACTTTGCCCAGTCTGGTCCTGGTAAGTAATTCCAGCATATGTCTTAAACGTTCTTTTTTTCTGAAAACTCCCTCTAAACTATATCCTTTGTCAATCATACTTTGCTTTACGACTTCATGGTTTAGTAAATCACCCGCATTTCTCTGTAACAGGAGTGTCCCTTGTCTGTTCCTTTGGGCTCTGGTGAGATTTCCTTTTTGGTTGGCCACATTTTTCTTCCCCTTTGAATATTCACATCAGAGTTCGCCAATGTCTGAAAATTCCTCCCCAAGTCTTATGATCAGGCGTCTAGTTTATTGACCTCTGCCAGAGTTCTCTCTATATGTCTATGAGACATTGGTTATGTTGTTTTATGACTATGTATCCATTTCTCTCACCTGACTTTTGAACTTATATAGAGCACTTACCTTGTTTATCTTTGTACTCAAAGTAGAAAGTATAAAATCTGCCAAATTGCAATACTTCAATAATTCTTTACCTTTTTTTTTTTTTAATCTGAGGCCAACTATTGTGGTAAAGATTCTGAACCTCTTCAGATTCACCTGTGACAGTGTTACGCAGGACCTTTAGGAACACATGTGCATCCTTCTAGGGTCATTAACAGCATTGGCATTTGATATCTGTAACCTCGATGTGTTTTTCCCCTTCACTCTTATTTTAGGGTCACTTTGCTGAACTGTTGGGAATCAGTAATTCCATGGACATTACAGGGTTCTTCATGAGCATTCAAGAAGTCCCACCCACATCTGATGAAAACGTCACTGTGATGGAGACAACTTTCAACAATGTTCCTGTCCGTATATATTTACCAAAACGGAAGTCAGAGACACTAAGAAGAGGCTTATTTTATGTTCATGGTGGTGGTTGGTGTATGGGAAGTGCTGGTATGAGCCTCTCGTTGAAACTTTTAGTTTGTCACCTAGCATACATTTTACTAAGATGTTGGCTTTGACATATGTTAAACATTATCACAGATAACAGAACACTTCAGCTGTCTGAAGTTTAATTCTTTGGACCTATACTATTAATAGTTTAAAGGAATTATATTAAATCTCTCTCTGAAAAAGAATAATCAATATCAAAAGCTATAGCAGATAACAGATAAGAGGGAAAAGAATTTTATGAACTTAGAAATACAGCATTAAACTTGTTAATTGCAGAAATGATGGAACATTGTGGTGAAAACCAAAACGAAGCGAGTTGAATAGTAGA